GCCCCGTCCCCGCAGAGGGGTCTGGGGCGCGCCACGGGGGCGGCTGGGGGGGCTAGGTGCTGCCCGATCAGGGCTGCGGGGAGCGTGTCCCTGGAAAACGCCTGCTCCGGAGTGTGGCACGGCCGGCACCAGGAGGAAGCTTGAGCGTAAAGCAAAATAAATACGCATTTTCATTTTTGTTTGTGGAGGGAATTAAGAAAAAAGTGTACAAACCCGAAATTTCACCTAAATAACTGATATAAAAAAATATCTCTAGTATCAGAGGGGAGGAAAGGGTTAGGATGTTGCGAAGCAGGGGTGGGGTTTTGCTTTGGTTTTGGATGGAGCATCCTTGCTGGGCACCCCTCTGCTGGCCAATCTCAGGATGGATGCTGCTCGGGTCTGGTGAATGGACATAGTTAAAGATGTCCAGGATTAACGGGAGTGAGTCTTCTACCTTGTTAGAGAAACTGACTTCTCAGCTGGTGAGACTTAACAGTCTAATGACCATCATATGATGATACTTATGCTGGAATAATATCTATGTTCTGAGCAGAAAGATAAAGGCAGGTGTTGCCAATGCATCCTATCTTCTCTGTAGCAGAGCTTTTTTACCCCTCAAATAAGCTGAGGCTGGTTACTTGAGCACGTACTAGGGAAGCGTGAAAATCCACTGGTACAGTAGGATTAATTTGATTGTTTTTAATTTGGAAGGGGAAGGAATTGTTTTAATCTTCTCCTAAGGAAGGTACTTAGCTTTAAAGGCTGCATTTTTGCCTCAGAAGTCTTCTGTGACTTCCATAAACAAGGCTGCCTAAAATGGACAAGCATGTAGGCCCGGAGTTCCTCATTTTAGGCTAAGGAATGCCCATAGATATGCTTAAGGATGAGAACACCTGTGCAGATAGGCAAAATAGAGATGCAAATTTGATTAGAAAAGTAATTATGAAGCTGTATATTCTATCTGGCTGTGAAGATTTACCAGGCACTGGTAAATTGAAAAGATGTCCTTGTGGCTGATAATGACCTCTTAAGCAGTTATAATGTTAGCAGATCTTCAGATGAGCTTCCTTGAGGACCTTCCAGGAGATGGGTCAGGCAGGTGAATTAGAATCCAAAGAAAATTGATTCTCTTCATCTTAGAAGGGTATTGTCAGAGAGTAATCCACCATGTCTGTTTAAAGAATCACTGCAGTTGCATCCAACATAATGGTTCTAGGACATAATTAGGTTTCCAAAATTCTCTGAATGGTCTGAGGATGTGGTCAAGTCTAAAGCAGAATTTTTTATTAATAGTAACTCATAAGAATTTGCATTTGGAGGAGGAGAATCAAGTGGTAGAAATGTTAAGGAGGATATAAGGGGTAAATGAATGTCAGGTGAACATGGAGTACAGGAAGGCTCAGGGTAAAGTGGAGTGAATGCCAGGTGCTCCAAGTCTTAAATGAAGAGATGGTTCTGATGAGGGAAATCTAAGGTCTTGTGTGCTTGTTACTGTTACTAGAAGACTGGGAGAGAATGATAAGCACTACTCTAATAGTCCCATGACTTATGATACTTCTCTTATGCTCTTCAAAGAAAGCTATTGGCTGAGCAACAGAGGTTATGCTCAGTGCTATCAGTGGGAAGGATGGGCCAAATGCTAAAAATCTGGAGTTTCCTTTTGTGAAGGTAGGGATGGTTACCCATTCTAATGTGCCTTCTGCTGTGTTTTTATATATCTCTATATAACTGCAGTACACAATCCACTATTTTGTTTAGTATTACTTGTCAAAGTGCCTGTATAACCCTATTATTGGACTCTGCAGACCAGTAGCTGCTATGGATATACTTCTTACTTAAGGGTGTACTTCACAAGCAGATATGAAAGAAGCACTCTAAACAGGTTAATATAATATATGCAAAGAGTGGCAAAAAGAGCTCTTAAATTTTTGTCTCATGGGAAAGTAAATAAATGTACTTAGTGTCAAGGACTGGTGACTGGACGGGATGTTTAGGGTAAAGACCATAGTTTGAGATATAAAATAAATGAAAGTGCATAAAATGCTGTAGTCATGGAGTATTGTTGCCAAACCTACAGATTTTTCTCTATGGATGTTCTTTTCTCGTGGTGAACTTTACACTGCTAGAACATTTGTGTGACATGCTGGGTTAACCCAGTTCTTGGGAATGTTTGTGGACTTTATTCAGCAAGGCTAGCAGTATGTGAGCACTACAGAAGCATAAATTTTCTTGGACAATGAAGCAATAAATTCCACATCCAGAGAAAGCCAGCTTGTTCTGGACACAGTATTGATGGTGCAAATCCTGCTTGCTGGCTAGATTCTGTAAAAAGATATTAAGGGATAGCATGAAGGTAATTTATAATCTGTAAGGACTTTGGCGAAAAATCTAGATTTTACATGCAGACTAAGGGATTGTTAGTGGAGTTGAGACTCTACCTTCTGGGGAGGGGGAATGCTAAGAGGTCTTGATGAGCTGCTGCTGTGAAACACAATGAAACATAAGCCACTATTCCTCTACCTAAGCATGGTCTCTACAGAAATACAACTTAGTTGTGTCAGAAGGATCAAGCAGAATAAGGTGACTAAGTAGTAAAACTGACAAAACAAACTGACTTTAGAAACCTGGTTTTGAGGCTGTATCTGGGTTCAAGGGTCTTGGGTTATAAAGAAGCTGGATGAAGCATAGTGGCAGGCCTAAGAAATAAACAAGAGGTACCAGTTTCAACAGGATTAGATTGTTTATACAATCTGAGTTCTGAACAAATTGTCTTCTACCATATAATTCTTGTCAGCCTTGACTGATAGGGGCACAGACCATTCCAGCTTCCCCTCTTCTGGACAGATGTGCCTTGCATGTGCTTGAGGATGAAGTCTCAGATGAAATGCTGTGATTTAATCCCAAACTGTCTGTGGGATTTTTTTTAAGCTTCTCATAAAGCTTCATAGTTTGTGCATGTCACCTTAAATCTCAAAGCTCAGCCATTACAGGGCCAATTAAGGACAGACTATTGGCCTTGGAGATGAATTTCCTGATGTTCTGTCAGTTCCTGTTGCATCCTTAAGCAATAAGTTAAGAGGTGAAATACTTGATGAGGTCTGATAGACAGGATAATAGACCTTTATCTTGACAGTCAGGAGGCTTCATGACAATGTCAACTAAGAACTAGCTCCTCCAGCAAAGTGTACTCAACTCCTAATACTGATGTGTTGTGGAAGAGCAAGTCTGCTATGAGACTTCTCATACACCTGCCCTATGGCTAAAACACCTATGGATGAGACTTTCTTCCTAGGAAGGGACAAGACAAGTTGGGAACACTAAGGATGTAGTGTTAATATTACAACTATGTTTCTACTTTAGACATCTGTGCTGTCAGAACAGGTTTATTTGTGCTTTAAGGAAGGGCACGAAGGTGACTATATAAGCAAGAACTAGTTTTTTAGCAGCTTGAATAGCAGATCTAGCTGCAAACAGCTGCTAGCCTGGTAAAACCTAGAGCAGGATGGAAGGCTGATGCTTGTCCTTGTGTGTTTCTGATGGATGGGGGCCATCCCCATAACATGATATTGAGATCATCATGAAGATGAAAAATTACAGAGCCTGGGCAACATTACCTTAAAGTCTGGATTTAGGAACAATAATGTAAACTTCCTCTAATGTATATCACAAATATATGTAATGACAATTACCAATAGGGAAATTTACTGCAGAATAGTAATCTGTGAAACTTGATGAATAGCTGTTTAGTAGAACAGCTACTGAAGGAGATGCAGTGGAGCTCTGAAAATCCTGGTTAATCCTTTTTTACCTCTGGTATAGATCTTTACACCTTTTTAGACTTGCATCTTATTTAGTTATTCATTGTCTTTCATGCTGTGTACACAAGAGCTAGTACCATTGGTAATGACTAATCTTGAAGGTAAGAGTAACACTTGTATTAAGCAGTATGTTTCATAATATGTAACTGGGGACTGAAATTGCTGTAGAAGATCCTGCCCTTATAAGGTATAAACAGAATTTTCATCAGTCTTCTCATAACACATCATGAACAGGACTTGCGTCTGTTACAGGAGACAGTATGGAGTGACTCCTACACTTCAACAAAGGTCTCTAACAACAGTGGGGTCTAGGTGGAGGGTTCTTCAAATACTGCTGAAATTATGTTTAAGAATAGGCTTTTGGCTGTTTATGGGATCATCAGGCTGGGTAAGCAAACTAGTACCTGACATTAGCCATGACTGCATGGTTTTAGGTTGGGTGAATGCAAGAATAATACAGCAAAATCCTGTTGCTTGTACAGATACATTTGTGAACAGGTAGAAAGCACCTACAGTTCAGCATAGACTATACAGAACATATGTAATTTCTCTCAGTACAGCTTGCACATACCCAGACTGTAAAGGGGGATAACTTTGCCAGCACTGGACAGTTAACAGCATGCAGCTGAAATAACCTATGATAACAGATTCAGTATGCATCAAGTTCCTGCTCTGAGGAAGGGAGTGAAAAGCATGGTTATTGGCAAGAGTTTTTTGCTACACTAACTAGGAAGAAGATCAGAATCAGCCCTTCTAGGCAGGAAGCAGTTAAGAGTACAGTTAGAAATTAAGTATTTGAGCTGTTGTTTAGTTAAAACTAGTTTTCATCTGAATAAACACTAGCTGCCTTGATTAAGAACTGCTTTGCTTCCAGGTTGTTTGGTATACCCAGTGAGACTCAACAAGCAGGATTGACAGAAGATCAAATGGTGCACACAGCCTGTGAGTAGGCAGGTGATGCTTTCCTGAGCAACAGCTAGAACAGACAACTGAACTTTGGCTCAGGAGTTGCTGATTTATGAGGCTTCAGCACTGGAAACTGGAGAGAGTGGTATAGAGGAGTGGTCCCTTAGCATGCAGTTTTCTCTGGAAGACTGATGTAAAGAAACCTCTTGTGGATAATCTAAGTATATTAAGCCTGTGTTACCAACTGAATAGCTTTCTATCAAGAAAGAGCATACAGAGATGTCTATCAATTGCTTTCTAGAAGAAGAATCTGGAGTTCAGATGCCAATATTGCTGGTATGGAGTGAAGGTGTTTATTAATCTAAGAAGTTAACTAAAAGGTTGGAATGCTAAATGCTGAACAGAGACTGGAAAGGCTGCTACCAAGACTTGTTGCAAGATGCTGTGTTATTCCTGGAACAAATCATAATTTGAGATGGATTAGCTAGGTGTCTGGATACTACCTCTGGACACTGATGTTCCTGGCTGAAGAATAACTATCAAACAGACTATGACAGTGCTAGTTTCCTTCAGTTTAAGTCTTCAGGGAACAAGATAGCACTAGTTCATGAAAAGCATTTAACTTTCTTCCTTTAAGTAGAGGGTAATACTAACAGCTTGGAATGTTATCAATTAGCTAGGTACAGCTTGTTTAAACTGGTCATGACTTTTCATGAGCCCTCTGTTCTAATACTCCTGCAGTAGCTGTATTTATTCCCATGGCAAGTGGAAGAAAAATTCAAAATAGAGCTATTGTGGTAGCTGGGTTGAGAAGTAACTAATTATCTCATCAGAAGATGTGTGCTCAAAATCACAGTACAATGGCAAAAAGTATGGTCCAATTGCACCACTTGAACTGAACAACCTGTTCAGTTCTGGCTGCTAACTTAGTGATGTTCACTTGGCTGTCATTCCAGTGATTCAAGTGTGCTGAAGGCACTTTCAGGAACTTTGAATTTATCTGTTCTTGCTAAAAGCCACACAGCTTAGAGGACCCTGAGGCACTGATATGATGGGAACAGACTATTCTGACCAACTGATGAAATAGCATTTGGCAAATTGACTCCTGGTAAGGTGTCTGGGTAGTTTCACAGGCATGATCCTGCACCAGCAGTGGCACATACCAACATCTGTAGCTCATATGACTAATTAGAGTACTGAGATCTTTATCTACTTTGCTGTTGGTACTGGGGGGAGGGAGCAGCATGAAGGAGGTATGCCCTGATGTGTTCGTTACCGACTTCTATCTCTCTCAGTAGGTGAATGTCACCCTTTTGTGATTCTCATTACTGGTTGTGTGTGTTAGACAGCTGCACTATGTGCTGTATCCTGCAAGATATTAGTACAGCTGTAGCTTATTCCAAAAGGGTATTCCTGTTGGCAGGGGAAGCCCTTGGCACAAGGTTGCCTTAATATATCAACACAGTATTGATCCATCTCTTAGGTGAGAGGACAGAACATCAAATGGGGCTTAAAACAAATTGCATGAAGTTTCCTAAAGTAAAATCCTGTTAATCTAGAAGTATTCTGGCAGGCTTAAATGAAGCCATGATACCATGCAAATGATCTCTTAACCACAGATCATGTTTCTAACTACCTACTGCCTAAACAGGACAGTTAAACAGGTTCTTTTGAACTTAGACTGAGAACACTGGTCTTGGTTTCCCTGCTATCAAGGAACTGCAAGAGAAACTGAGTGGTGGGGCATCACTAATCTAGACTTTACTGGTTGTTGGAATGGCAGATAGCTTCAATTGCCAGGCAAGGCAGGTCAAAATTCTTTTCAGTTGTCTCTTACAAGACTAACCACAGGACCTTGGGCTAGACTTAGCAGTGTAAGAGCATTTATGAAGTCATCTTTCTGGCAAGTGATAATCCTCTTGCATTCCAACTGGAGGGGAACAGTTCCCAAGATGTTTATGAACTGTCTTCCACTTGTCTTTAAGTGGGTACTTGTTATTTCTAAGTGTGAACAATACATATCAGGTGTAATCTGCCTGTAGCTAAGGCTGGTATCTTTCATGTATATTAGTCACTGGCTATGCTAGTTCCTAACAGACTGATTTGATTGTTTTCATAGAGGAAACTAATGGTAGTGCTTATGGCAGCACAAGCAGCT